GAAAAAAACTATACAGCCCCTTAAAAGAAAATTAACAATCAGCATTAAAGATAGCTATACAAGAGCTTTAGCCACCTTCAATCAACTACCTTCTCACCTCAAAACTTTAAATAGCAATATAAAAACAATAAAGGACAAAATAAAAAAATGGATCAAAGGCCATCCATTCTAGATACAGGAATACAATGAACCACAAAATACACTGCAACAATTTACAACAAATCTATTACAAACTAAAGCAATAAGGGAACTTTGATAATAGTCTAAATTCAGCATTGGAAGTCCATGTGGATGTGGATAAGGATAAGTTTCTCTTGGATGTAAGGACATATTTGTGTTCACAAGGCACTTGTACACTTCATCAAAATCGTTCTCATCGTCGAATATCTGAATATAACATGAAAAAAATGAAAGTATCAGATAACTACAGAAAAATAATAGAAACAATTGCAAATGTGATTGACATAGCATGGAACTCACAACGGATAACTATTAATACCAAAACAAAAAACGGACTCAAAGAGAGAAAAAGAAACGAAACTTACATTCTAACAAAAACAGATACAACCAACACAAATTTTATTAATAAATGTGAATACTGCACATACAAACAATTAATTGGTAAAAAACATATACATTTCATAAAAGAAGAAAACAAAGAAGATCACAAAGAACCAAATACAGATAAAGTAAGATATAAACCCATAGAAACAGTATTTAAACAAATAGATGACATTGCAGAAAACAATAGTATGCAAATAGAAACAAGTAAACCAAAAAATACACCAGGAAAACCGATTCTACAAACAAATAATATTCGAATGACCTATGGAGACATCAATTATCTTGGAAACAATAAAGCATTATTATACTTTTATAGAGGTATCAGGATATCAAACTTTCACTAATTCATTGTACTCACTGGAACAACAACCTAAATATAAAGATTTGATAGTCTTAGATGACATAGTATTCACAGCAACATGTAAATGCGATTCACATAGACAGCATACTGAAATGTTCCCTCACTATAGAGTCACGTGTGCTACAGGACGTACTTGTCCTGTTAGACTAAATACATACGAAAGAATATCATATGCAAGAAAAATGAAAGCATCAATGACGACAATCGTAACGGCCAGACAAATGTTAATCAGATATTGGAGATAGAAGAATAAAATCGTAGATATTAGTGAAGTAAGCTTTTATAGGAAGCATTCTTGCTACCAATATTAATCCATACCTCATCTGTGAAATATTATAATCTATTATACAAACTAACTCTTAGTTTAAAATTTTTTTTTTTAATTTCTTTAAGTGTTTAGTAGTTTTAAATACCAGACCAGCGAACAGGTTTATCCTCTGCCGGGTTACAAATTTGTAATGTATGATTGTATAATTATTACTACTTGTTGTAATATTTTGTACTATACTCTGGATAATAATAATAATAATAATAATAAACTACCTATAATCATACTACGAGTATACAGTGACTATGACGCCCTATACTTTCGAATGGTGAGGTCTAGTGACTATGGCGCCCTCTACTTTCGAATAGTGAGGTATAGGTTTTATATAGAACAAACACGTGCCTCTACTCTTATAACGGTTTTAGGAACTAGTAGAGTTCACATTAACTTCAGCATCTTTTCAAATGGATTTCGTAATAGATTTTCAAGGCTTTCAAAGTTTAAACGAGAATTTTGTTTGTAAAGAACTCGCATATCTACCATTAGATGTAGATACTGTTCCAACTGTGTTTTTCTTCGAACCACCATATCATTGGTTTCAACTTCCTTTCAAGTGTCGAAAAGTGAATCATTTCTTAGAAACGTGTCCTCATAGTTTATTATAGAGATCCGATCTTATTCCATATAAAAATTTAGTACGTGTACTAAACAATCATTTAAATAATTCTAGAAATATTTATGTAAAAGGATTAAAAAAGAAACAATGGTTACAAAAAGCTTTACCTGAAAAGTAAGTATTTTTATTTTTTTTGTTAGAAATTAAAATCATTATTAATTAAAAATTTTTTTCCTTTTTTAGAAAAATTTTAGAACTTGAAAGCGAGATGAGATGTCTACCAATGAGCGCATTACCTTATCCATTAGAAACAATATGTACATATCATTACAATAAACCAGCTAACTTTGTATGTGCCGTTACAGATGCACAAAGATTGTTTTTATGGATAAAAGCTAGACGGAAGCAATCTGAAATGGAAGGTATTGATGAAGTTGACAATATTACATATAAAAATTCAAATCAATATTTCAATATTGCAATGTCAACTACTGAAAATAAAGATTATAGACAGATTGTATTATATTCAATCTCGTAATATAGTATACAAGCAGTAATATTCACTACAAATTTAAATTATTTTTAACAGTTAGTTTTGTGCCTTATTTATTACATTTGTTTGATAATATGATTTTATCCCCATTTTGTGAGAAAATAAAAAAAGAATCAGATTTGTTGGCTCATATAAAAACGAAGCATAAAATAATGATGAGTTCTAAAGTTTAGTGTTCGCATTTTGATTGTAATTAAAAGTTTTGCAATGTGTATGCTTACATAAAACACACGACTCGGGTCCACAGCAATATTAAAAAATCTTTAGTTAGTTATTGGGAAATACTAGAAGCAGATGATGTTGAATATTCAACGGAACCGAGTACTACGCTCGATTTTAATCTAATAAATGAAGATCTCAATCTCTTTATGAAAAGCTTACCACAGCCAGTTTTAACACTTGAAGAATTATCTGACGTCATTTCTAGAGAATTTGCTTTGTTAGTAGCCAAATATTTTGCAATACCCGATATAATACAAAAAACATTTTAGATATAATTCGTTCATTTTCAAAATTTTATAAAGGTTCAATTAAATATATAGAAAATAAATACAAAGTAATTCCAGAACTCCCCTTGAAGCTCTCCTTAATACGAACTGTTTTCAATAAATTTCATACAGAATATCTTGTATTCAAATATTATATCGGTCAAGGACCTTTGATTATGCCAAAGTCTATTCCTATAAGAACTTATCTAAAGTCCCGAGCAATTAAAGAACAGTTTAAAAACAGGCTAATACATGATGACATACAAATAGTTCCTATTAAAAGTGTATTAACAATTTTCTTGCGTTTGCCCGGTGTACTCAATTCCATTGTATCGAATATAGAAAAATGTAAACAAAGTAAAACATTTGATTCTCTATTTACAGGAGCATTATATAAGAAAATACTGATTTCCTTTACAGATGAAATTGTTATTCCGCTCATAATATACAATGACAATTTTGAAATAAATAATATTATCGGCTTATGTAAAGTTCTCCGGAAAATTGGAGCGGTTTATAATATTATTTTAGGTATTCCTAATCAATATTCCAGTCAGCTGAAAAATATATTTTTACTACAATTGCATAAATATTTAAATCATAAAAATTTAGGTAACGAACCAGTTTTTCGAAGTTGCATCGACGAATTAATTAATTTAGTAAATGAAAGTTTATCCATAGAAAATAAGAAAATTCGTTTCGTAATTTTCCAAGTAGTTAGTGATAATTTAGGTGTGTATTCAATACTAGGCTTTTCAAAATCGTTTTTGTTAAATAACTGTTGCAGAATTTGTACTGCAGATAAAAAGATCAGACAAAAGCAAACAAAACCAAATCCTTTGCTTTTGAGAAAAAAAGAAAATTACGAAAAGGATTCTCTTTCTCAAAGTACAGGAATTGAAGAAATATGCATTTTTAATAAAATACCATACTTTCGGTTGACGGATAATAGTTGTGTCGATATCATGCATGATGTATACGAAGGAATTTGTCGATATGTCACGCCCAGAATTTTAGATTACTTTATCAATGTCAAAAAATATTTTACATTAGACATAATTAATTCTAAAATATCTTGTTTGAATAAGACTTGTTGACAAGATCGTAACATATTACCAGAAATACCATTGAGTTGATTTAAAAATAAAATATTAGTTTGTTCTGCAAACGAAATGAGATTTTTAATAGAATACTTTGGTATTTTGGTAGGTTATTTGCTACCTAAAACTGATAAAGCGTGGTATTTATATTCATTATTAAGAGAAATGTGTACTTTGATAAATACTCTAGTTGCAACTGATGCTTTATTAAAACGCCTCGAAAGTATTATTGAAGAACATCATAAACTTTATATGAAACTATTTAAAGAATTATTAAAATTCAAATTTCACATAATTTTACATTCCCGCGTAAAAAAATGAAAAGTTTTCAAAAACTTTTGCCAAACTTACGTTGGCTGAAGTTTAGGAAAACTTAAAAATTGAGACGATGCCAAACTTACTGGTTTATTGGCTATGTTTGTGTCAAGTTTGGCAAAATTTTTTACTAACTGTAGCCATTGATACATTTTTTTAATATTTTTTTAACCGACTTTGGGCGATGTTTGTAAAAACTTGGAACAAAATGAATTTTAAGATTGCATTCACAAAGTTCAACCAAACGTTATACAAACGTAGTATAAAACATTTAACATCATATATCTAGTTTGGGATAAAGTTTGCCCAAACATTAGCTAATTATTTTTTATTTTCAATCGGAATATGAAGTTTGGCAGAACTTTATCAAAACTCGAAACCCGCAATTTGATTCGATTTTTTCGTCATTGTCGTAAGTTTGGCAAAACATACGACGAACTTAATTTCAATTGACCGTTTTTTACAATATTTTATTTGTGTGTTTGGCTAAACTCTATGTAACTTTTGAAGGTACACCATCCGTATCTCTAGCTGATAGGATTTTAACGAAATAGATTATTCGATCAACAATTAAATATCGAACAGTGTGGTTATGTTTTTAAGATTTAATATATTCGAATTTTGTAATTTCACAATCAATTTAATAATTAAATATTTTTGTCTTGATAATCATGAATGTTTCTTATATTTTTTATGGTGTTCTGTTCTATTTTCGTATTCCCACTCATCTCCCCATTAACGTTTCTTTCTTTCTCTTGTGCCTTGTTTGCCCTGGTCACTTCGTACTTCTTCGCGATATTCCTTTTCAACTGATTTTTCTCCTTTTTGGTCGCATTTGCTTTTCTTTCTACGTTGTTGCTCTTCCTCGTGTCTTTTCTTTTTATCATCACTCTTACTTTTGACTTCATCCCGATTTTTCCGGTATTCTTTTGCTCCTATTTTCCCGTCTGACCCTTCACTTTTTTTTCTATCTATCTTCTTTTCCTCATACAGCCCTTTTCCATCAGATCTTCGACTCTCAACTAGCAGTTCGGTATCTTTCTTGCCATGTTGTTCTTTCTCATGTCGTTCCGTTCCATCAGATTCTTTTCTTTCGCTCTTCTGTCCGACCTTCTCGAGGCTTTTTTCTCTGTTTTGCCTTCTTTCTTTATTCACCTCATTTACACCATCTCGCTGTTTCTCAAATATTGGTTCACTGCTTTTTCTGCGATAATTTTCGTTCATGTATCGTTCCTTATCATACGGCTCTTTTCTCTCGCTTGTATGTCTAACTCTCTCCTTGTCTTGCTTTCTCTCTTCATTCTGGCAGGATTTACCAGCCTGCTGGTGCTTGATCTCATGTTTGCTGTTCTTTTTACGATGCTCTTCCTTGTTGTACCGTTTCTTTGCATCCCGCTTACTCTCAGCCGACTATCCACTCTCATTATCTCTCTCTCTCTCTTCGTGCTCTTCATTACTTTTTCGTTGTTTCTCTATCACAGATTCGCGATTTTTTCTGAGATGCTTTTCCTTTGCGTGCCCTTCATTTCCATCAGTTTCTTTGCTTTCATTCGCTTTTTCGTTTCTCAGTAGACTTTGTTGATCTCCCTCATATTGCCTCTTTTCACCAGGTTTGCTCTTCTGATTAAACTGCTTATTCTTGTCGCCTTCTCGTTTTCGCACCTCGGATTTCTCTTTCACACTAGAACCTTGCTGTTCATCTGCTATTTCGGTATTTTGATCACTCGAAATGTCTTCTCTACTGCTCACTACTATTTCTTCCTCATAATTTTTACTTTTACTGCTGTTACTTCCTTTGCCAGTATATAAAATGTTTATTTACACTCATTGTTATATATTAGTTCATTACATTTTAACATTTTACCTTTAGTATTTTTATTTCAAATCTCTTCCATTGTTCGTAAATCACCTTCTGTCATATTCTTGAAGCTACTATTAGTTTGATTCGAGTGAAACTTTGTTTTTTGCGACAAACTTCGCCTGGAAGATTTAACCGTAGAATTGCTGTTGGCCATACAAATATTGGTTCCTTTTTTGCCTTTTGGATTTCTCAAAGTTGCGCACTTGGATGTGATGACTGCAGTATATTGTTCGTAAGTAAGCCTAAACTGAGGTTTTGTGTTCAAGTTTACAAAGCCTATATGGATTCAAATGGAAATATAATTATTTAGTCTTCTATTAAAGCTCTACTATATCGTAGATATCAGTGAATATCAAACGAACTAATAATATTTTCTTTATAAATTCACCTTTTGTGGCAGGGAATTTCGGGGGTGTTGACCGCGCTCCGAGTTCTTCCGCCACAAGGCCTGTTTGGCTCTACCCCCGATTATTTAGGGCGCCAGACCGTCGGCTGATTACGGCGATCGTCGGGGGTAAGGCCAGTCGGGTTGTGCGTATCCCGGTCTGCCTAACGGCGACTGCGCAGAGTGGGCAGATGGGGGGAATACGCGTGGTATCCTAGCTTCAGGCCTTGGTGTCCAACTCTCGTGGCTATTTTCCTCCTTAATTAGGGTACGCCAGCAACTCAGGTGATGACTCCTTAAATCAGGTCGTGAGGACGTTCGAAATGGCGCGTATATTACCTAACGAGTGACCCGAAAATATAGCGAATTAGTGAAACCCGTATGTAACCGCTCGCGGCTGAAAATCGCTAGCATGCAATAGAGGTTGGTTATCAAGTAAATTTTATATATAGATATAAAGATAATTAATCACTTTATTGATGCATTAAAAATTTCTCACATACGAGGTCGGAATGAATATGGTCGGTAAAATTCTGAATTTTCATTAATCCTTAAAGGTACAATTTAATCGGACGTTAATGATTTTCCGGTCGGTCCTCGGTTAATAAAGAGAGAGGGTCAGCGCAAATAACTCAGTCGCGAATTTCCCTTGTCCGATCTTACCGCTCACACTCGGTTCATAAAATGGCGGAAAGGTCAGCGCGAATACTAAATCGCAATTTTCTTTTTGTAAGACCTAACGCTCAAATTCGGTTTGCGAAATGGCGGAAAGGTCAGTACAACTAATTAATTAAGACACTTTGATTCGGTTAAACCTATATTCGTAATAAATAATCAACGAAAGGTCAACGCGAATACTAGATTGCAATTTTCTTCCGTAAAACGAACACTTAATAAAAGTTGACGAAAGGTCAGCGCGAATACTAAGTCGCAATTTTCTCTCGTAACCGAACACTTAACAAAAGTTGACGAAAGGTCAGCGCGAATACTAAGTCGCCATTTTCTCTCGTAACCGAACACTCAATTTATATTTACGGAATGGCGGACAGGTCGGCACGATCCGGTAGGCACCGGCGTCGACGGATCCACGCGTCGCGACGACCTACGGCATTGAACTAAATAAGTTAACTAATCTAACCCGCACTCCGCGATTAAATAAATAAGTGGCACTTTGCCTACTTACAATTTTCTCCTTGCGGTATTAGCAAACAAATTGACAAAGATATCTGAGGCGTCTAGCGCTAATAATCTGACAACGATTAGCTGATAGAGAGGCTCCTTCCTTGCGGATATCCAGTGGAAAAATGGACGAGAATCGGCTTCTCGCGGTCAAAGATCGTTTCTCTTCTCCTCTTTCCGAGAAGAAATGTTATTATTGGTCGGTATGCTAATTCGGATATCGGTAGCGCCCTCCGAATTTTTATCATTGGTCCGTATGTAAATTAGAATAATACAGCGCCCTCCTTAACTCTCCTACTTTCGTCGTTATATACTCTCTCTCACCCCCCCACTAAGGTAACTATCATTAATTGTCGGAAAAGATCTACACCTACTCTTATCTATTCGTCTATCCGGACGGAAATCAAATTTTATTCTAATTTGCCTATTGGTCGTGACGTCACTAGCGAATTTTGTCAGAGGTTCAAATTCGGTCAGTTAAATTATTATTTAAATCTAAAGGGGGTAGTTGTCGCTCGCTATCATAATAGGGGTGTCGGTCGCGTGCGAATTTTACAATTCGATATTTGTTCCACGCTCATTATTTTCCAATTTAATATTTTAATTTTATTATCGGAGATACGTATATAATATACGCCGTTTCATTCGTAGCGCCCTCATCTTCGCATTTGCATATGATTCTATCTATTATTTTAAATAGTCTGTCTCGCTCGCTCTTGTTTCGTCTTTTTCGCTCGCTCTGTCTCGCTCGCTCTGTCTCAGTCTGTCTCGCTCGCTCTTGTTTAGTCTGCTTCGCTCGCTCTGTCTCGCTCGCTCTGTCTCAGTCTGTCTCGCTCGCTCGCTCTCAGTCTATATCAGCGCTTCAAGATGGCCGCTCAGTTTCTCGCGCGTACGCTTCGTGTCCTTGTGCCGGTTGTTGGAGCGCCCCCTGGGGCGCTCCCGTGTCGGTTCTGTGATGTTCCTCCGGGTGTTGGTGTGTGTGGTTGCTGATATTTGTGTGTGTGGCGCTCAGGATGTCGCTGATGGTGTTCGGCAGCCCGACATAGCTGATTGCCGGCTGCCACTTCATCGGCGATTTTCTGCTCGCCCCAGGAGTGTCAGTGCCTCGGGAGTGTTAGTGTTGGTGCCTGGGAGTGTAACGGATCTGCATGTGTCATCAACATGCATTTCCGTTGCATTTCCCAGTCAAGTTTTGCATTTCTTTTGCCGGTCGGCAACACGTGGTCGGGAGTGTATATGAGTGAGTGTGTGCGTGCGCTCTCTTTTTCTGTGGTGCGCTCCTTTTTTTTTGTCTGCTCTTTGAGCGTCCGTCGGATCGCGTTGGGCAAGTTTGTTTCACCCATATCTCCGGCGTGGTCGTTCGGACATGGAAAAGAATAATTGTTCGGTATAGGGCGTGTTTAACTTTATTTTAAACGACCGGTTGCGGGGCGGCAAGGGACGGGGATGGCCTTTCTAAGGTGTTGCAAATAATGCAACACTCAGGAAAGGCCTTGTAATGTACCACATTACACTTTAATAAATACTGTAATGTAGAAGAAAATATACGAAACGATAAATTTATCGTTCTATTTTTATATTTTAGCATTACGACACTTATAAGAAGTAAGTGCGTAGAGCAAATGTTGTCCATTCGTTTGTGTATCTATAGATATCTATATAAGTTATATAATTTAATTTTTACTTTGAACACCTTCAAAAATATTTTCGGGGATGGGTTCCCTGTTATTTTCCCCCTTTGTAGATGATTTTTTCAGCATATCGATTCCAATAAGATCAACTAGTAAACGACGAACCTTTTCTTTAGGATTTTTTTTGTACGAAGTTCTGTAAACGCTAAGTTTCCATTCGGGTAATTTTCACTTGGAGCCCTCTACTATTGGAATCTAAATTATACAATTTATATTATAAAATTGAATGCACTATTCAGACATCTTCGAAAGTCGTATCTTACCTCTCGATTTTTGGTGAAACCAGCTTTTTTATTAATGTTCTGCAAAACAAATATGAGCAATAAAAAAATTTTGAAATTTTTTCAATCTAATAATAGTGACTTACATCAAGGTCTTTTAAGACTTCTGGGTTTATGGCTTTAGCAAGGTCCAATATCATTTGCAATTTTCGTATATCTTCTTCGGTAACTATAACAATAAAAAAAAAGGATTATTTTAAGTGGTTGAAAATTTAAATCTTTTAAATTAATTTTATTTGCTCACTATTTGGAAACTGTGAACATATACAATTTCGCTCTGCGCCCTTCTTATTCTCATTTTCGTTGCCCTCGTGCGTCATGACGACATTGTCATCCGGCTCAGAATAATTTCTTCCATCACTCTCTTCCAGGTCTAATTCATCTTTCCTACATTAATAAACGACATAATTATTATTGTGTACCTAAATAGTAAATCAACTTTTACATTATTATGTTTAAGGGGGTGCCACACCTCTGTTTTACCGACTTTTTATTGGGGCGTATTTTCTCCAAAAGTACTTAACGGCGCAAGTGGGGACTTTCACAAAAGTTTCATTTTTGAAGAAGAGAGAAAAATCGTCATCTTGATTATTGAATAAGAAATAGGCATGATTATTGGAGACGACTAGGCATCGATCGATCAGCTGGTCGTCGTAAGCATTGTTTATCAATGAAATGTTCATACAGTTTGTAGATCACGCATAGCAACGCGGTGCGGCAACGCTTTTTTTGATCGGAACAAATTATTAATCAGATTTTCTTGTTGGATATTTTTTTTTCAAACTTCACCAACAAGATGACCGTACTTCCGCTCTCTTTTTTAAAAATGAAACTTTTGTGAATGTCTTTACTTGCACCGTTAGTACTTTTGGAGAAAATACGTCAAAAAAAAAGTCAGTAAAACAGAGGTATGGCACCCCCTTAAGCTAATTAAAATCTGTGAACAGGTTTGACGCGCTTGTATGATCAAGCTTTCAATTTACAGAATGGTCAATTACGAAATATTTAACGCGGACGAGTTTTAAAATTTCACGATACGCAATTTTTTCTTAAGATACTGCAGCTCATATACAAGTACAAATTCGTGTATGAACAAACATGCGCCGTATGGTATAATGAGTATCGCAATGAAAGCTTTTTTAAAGTGTTGAGTCTTACCTTTCATTTTCACTGTCATCATCTTCTGAAAAAATTGATCGTTTTTCCAAAACCTTGTATCCCTGTGCTCTTGACGCCTTCTTATTTAGTTCGTTCAACCTTTTGTTCTCCAAGCGATTAGTTTTTTTCGCCGAAGGCCGCGACATTTTGTTGCAGTTCCTTATCTCACTATTGTCTAAGATAATGCCTTCTTTTGACACGTGCAATGAATCGAGCCACTCTTTGCTACCTATTTATTAAAAATTAATTATTAGATAACGTATAGTTTGAAGAAGTGCATAGGATTCGTTAAAAAATCAAACATACAAAAACTTTGGTAGGTTTTAAGGTACTTACTATTGACACGTATTACTTTTACCGGGTAATAAGAATCACCCCACTTTGCAGTTACTCCGTTACAATTTTTTTTAATGTGTGTTATTGGAATCGTACTCACGTCTCTAGTATTAGACCATAGAACCAATACGTATATCGGTTGCAGAAATTTTCTGCGGTTATGTAAACGAAAGGTTAACATTCGAACTACGACATGAAATCATCGATGCCTTTTTTTTGAATGTTTTTATAGCCTTAATAACCTTGCGATGTGTCGTAACTACACATGATAGCTTCCACGAACTGGTAAGTATTCATTTCAGGCATAAATTATAATTAATAGAATGAATAATACAGTAATAAACTAAATATTTTGCAGGGTGAATTTTCTATATTCCCATCATGAATGAAGGGCGTACTTTTGTAAGCTATTCGCGGGCATCGCGGTATCGCTATATCAACAAGCTTAGGGCAAGCAATTCAGAAAGTGAAAGTTCTAATGATTCCACAAGTTCAACAACTGTTAGTGTGAGTGATTTTATTCTTAGTATCATATCAAAAAATTGCACTGTGCTTAATCATATTAGTAAATCATAGGTTTTAACATAAAATTTTTCATGGGACATTTCTAAAATTACATTTAAAGTTTTACTACCCACGTAGTGCTTGAGTGTAAACAACTTTTTTTTCCCCGCGGTTGTACCTAAAACATATTAATTAAGAATTACGAATTTTGTTTTGTTCAATTGGCATAAACACAACTAATATTAACGCTTATGTTTCTGTAGAATTACTCCGACACAGACTCTGAAAGCAATGAAGGTAATGACACCGACGATAATCATAATGAGCAGGAGAGCACTTCGAGCGATGCTGATATTGGAGATCGACAAAGCTTAGAAAATGCGCCCGAAAATAATAAGAATGATGATGATGATTCTACGTTCGAACAGCAGGGTTAGATATTATGGTCACTCGATTCTAGTGGAAAACTTGTACACTTATTAATTTCTGCACGATATCAATCCATGAGTTTAGTCTCTTTTCTAACTACTATAAGTACAACAAAATAATAATCTCATTTATATTTATATCATTTATGTATGCTAATTTGTAAGTTCGCGCATGAAAAAAGTATTATTAGTAGGCACGTGGCATAATCTCTGAATTCGCGCGACTATTTAAATATATTTTGATTATATTAGTGGTTTTTGGAACATAGGGAATAAAAAAGAGATCAAACCTCCGTTTTTTTTGTATTATTAATTATGTTAACAGGGAAAAATAAAAAAAAATGACGCTTTTATTATTCCGCGTAATAAAGGGTTTTAAAGCAAGAAAAAGCGATGTTGCTGTTACAGAGTGATAGCGGCTGGGTACGGCACAGTGACTCGCGACGGGTTTTCAATGTAGGTTATGATGAAGCTGGGTGCGCTTTAACTCCTCGTTGTAGATCGGCATGTCGTGCCGCTCGAGTCCCGGCAGGTAACACTCGGACGACTACATCTGGTCTTCGGTGATCACACTCTTGAACGTGCGCGCGGAGGTCAGCTGTGAATCTCGTCAATTTTCTTTTTCTTCCTTGGACACAAGCGACGTAAATACAATCGTCCTACGTGTTTATTTCACACATCACACGCGTCTTACTCTCCGGCTCATAGAGCGTAATAATGACGCAAGAAAAAAAGAAAAGAGAATAAAGTAAAAAAATATCAACAAGATCTACGGCTGATCGAAATCACATTCAAGAATTTGAAAACCTAGAAAGCGACTCTTATTTTTCCCGGCGCGCCGACCTAAGTCACCTGGCCGCACTCAGCCTTCGACCAAGCCGCTGCAGCTGCACCCCGACTCTCTCTCTCTCTCTCTCTCTCTCTCTCTCTTTCAGTCACATTCGAACCCTTTTTCTTGCGCATTTTGGGAAATACATTTGTCAAATGAATTTATAAATTACTGAAACTTTAATGTAACTGTACAGAATCTATTGATGAACCTCAGAACTCCAGCGAAGAAGACGAGAGTGTTTCTACCAGTGATAGCAGCTCATCAGCATGCAGTTCGTCTTCCGAGTACTCGGATACGGAAGATAGTGGCGAAGAGGAGTTTACAATTATAAACGGCGACGAACCCTTGTATCCTGGAGCCCCGATAACGACAGCAGAAAGTATTATGTCAATTTTCACTGTCATATCGAGATTTGAAGTCACGGGAGCTCTAATGACAGCTATTCTCGAGCTTATATCGTTACACTGCATCAAACCAAACTATTGCGTGAAAACTTTGTATAAACTTAAACAATTTTTCGCGAATATTCAATGTCCATTAGAGAAACATTTTTATTGGTCAGCATGTTTTACACCAATAGAAAACGAGCAATGCAACATCTCTCAACAAAATACTAAAATTGACCACTTTCTGCGAATTCCAATAACACCGCAATTAGCTTCGTTTTTTAAGCGTCCAAATTTTAAAGAAAATCTAAATCACCGATTTACACGAATTAAACAAAATATTGACAACTACGAAGATATATATGACGGGTCGGTTTACAATTCACTGCCTCGGGAATATAGAGAAAACCCTAATAATTTGACTTTTACTTGGAACTCTGATGGTGTAAAAATTTTTAATTTTTCAAAATATGGTATATGGCCACTGTATTTGATGATTAATGAGTTGCCTTATCATTTAAGAATTAAAAAAGAAAATTGTATTTTGTCAAGCGTATGGTTCGGACCAAAAAAACCATTACCAAATTTATACTTATCCGCTTTACAAGATGAACTTACTGAGCTCTACGAAGGGCAGTATTTTAATGTACATAATCTATCTGAACCTGTAAAAGTTCGTGGGCAGATTCTGAATGAAACTTGCGATTTACAAGCAAAAGCTATATTCCTTAACATGCAACAGTACAATGTGAGATTCGGTTGTCAAAATTGCGAAATAGAAACTGTAAGAATCGGAAATGTGCAAACCTATCCTTATATCAAAACTCTAGAGCCTTTGGAGAGAACGACAGCACAAACACGGCGATATGCTAGGCAAGCTCTTGAACAAGGAGTTCCTGTACGAGGTGTTAAAGGACCTTCTGCGCTAGATTTAATAGTGCGCGATTACATAGGTTCGACTGCAGTCGACGAGTTCCGTTTGAATGTCATAGAACTGAATCTTACGTGTTAACAAATACAAATAACATTGATGATGTACTGTATTATTTGAATTTTGATGGTAGAATGTTTGTTGTAGAGCGAGCAAATACCCTCGAAAGAGAAACAGGTTAAATAGTATCGAACTACTTTTTTCTAATAAAAGTAAAATTGATTGTGAAATTACAAAATTCGAATATATTAAATCTTAAAAACATAACCACACTGTTTGATATTTAATTGTAGATCGAATAATCTATTTCGTTAAAATTCTATTATCTAGAGATACGGATGGTGTACCTTCAAAAGTTATATAGAGTTTAGCCAAACACACAAATAAAATATTGTAAAAAACGGTCAATTGAAATTAAGTTTGTCGTATGTTTTGCCAAACTTACGACAATGACGAAAAAATCGAATCAAATTGCGGGTTTCGAGTTTTGATAAAGTTCTGCTAAACTTTATATTCCGATTGAAAATAAAAAATAATTAGCTAATGTTTGGGCAAACTTTATCCCAAACTAGATATATGGTGTTAAATGTTTTATAGCTACGTTTGTATAACGTTTGGTTGAACTTTGTGAATGCAATCTTAAAATTCATTTTGTTCCAAGTTTTTACAAACATCGCCCAAAGTCGGTTAAAAAAGTATTAAAAAAATGTATCAATGGCTACAGTTAGTAAAAAATTTTGCCAAACTTGACACAAACATAGCCAATAAACCAGTAAGTTTGGCATCGTCTTAATTTTTAAGTTTTCCCAAACTTCAGCCAACGCAAGTTTGGCAAAAGTTTTGGAAAACTTTTCATTTTTTTACGCGGGCTATTAGCTAGAGATACGGATGGTGTACCTTCAAAAGTTACATAGAGTTTAGCCAAACACACAAATAAAATATTGTAAAAAACGGTCAATTGAAATTTAGTTTGTCGTATGTTTTGCCAAACTTACGACAATGACGAAAAAATCGAATCAAATTGCGGGTTTCGAGTTTTGATAAAGTTCTGCCAAACTTTATATTCCGATTGAAAATAAAAAATAATTAGCTAATGTTTGGGCCAACTTTATCCCAAACTAGGTATATGATGTTAAATGTTTTATAGCTACGTTTGTATAACGTTTGGCTGAGCTTTGTGAATGCAAATCTTAAAATTCAGTTTGTTCGAAGTTTTTACAAACATCGCCCAAAGTCGGTTAAAAAAGTATTAAAAAAATGTTGTAACGGTCCTATATATGAGCTATTTATTAAATCACTGAATGACTGCAACTAGTCTAACGTATCTATCTGTTTAGTCAAAACAATACATTAAGCGGCGCTACTTCACTGTTTACGCGACTGTATACAAATAAGAGTCGAATCAAAATAAACAGCGCGACGTCACAAAATAATAGACATAGATATAATGATTCATGATATTAAGAAAAATATGTTAATTTTAATATAACAAAGTATCGATTATATAGATTTTAACATGTAGATTCAGAATATCTCATTCAATTATAAATTAATAATGAATATCAATATGCAAAGTTGATTTATTTATTAACATATGAAATATTAGAAAAATATAAATAATTTATATGCAAAATGAATAAGCATAGAACATGAGTAAGAATTGGTTTCATTAATAACAGCTGAATAATAACTGTTATTAATAAATAAACAATTAATAATTTATTTAAACAATAAGCTATATAAAAAACGAAAATATTAAGTTAATACTTGATAATGATAACTTTATGACTTAGAAATCTTAGATAATTAATCTAATAATTGCATATTAAGATTAGAAAAAACCGTTACAAATATGAAAAATTAGTCATAATTCAAATGTTATTAATTAATTTAAATAATTAATTTTGGAAAATACTTCCAAAATTAATCAACTATAAAGTTATATGAAATTTTAATAATTTTCTATTGTAAATAATGTAATATCACGTTAATTAACTTTATTAGTTAATAACTTTTGACGACAATATTGGCGATAATTACATATTGTATAAAATCAACAAATAACTAATTCTGTAAAATTTACATGTGTTAAAAACTTAATATTAATGGTTATTTACTTGTAAATTAAGAAAACTTATTTCTCAAAATTCGCGAATGTCTCTCGAATTTTCGATGACATCTCTCCTGCAATAATAAGCGGGAAAATCTGTGTATAA